CACTCCGGGCACGTGTGCGTGCATGCCCAAGATCCCGAGAGGAGAATGGAGGAGAAGGGATTCCTCCTCCTTCACCCCCTCTGGGGGGTGATTTCTCGCTTTCTGTCTCTATGTCTCTCTCTGTCTGTCTGGCGAGCCCACGTGCCCTATAGCAAAAACCTCTCCAAAAAAAAAAGAAAGAGGAGACAGAGAACCAGCTCTGGTGTGGTGGTTAAGGTGGGATCCCACACAGCCAGTTGTGTGCTTTAAGTCTGAGATCCTGCGTCCTGAGAACTGTAGTAGGCGTGCATGTATGTGTGTGTGTGTGCGTGCCCCAAATCATGAAAGGACAAAGAGCTGGGGGAGAAGGGATTGTGGCATGACCATTCCCCATAGAGGGTGCTTTCTCATTTTCTCTTCTCTCTCTCTCATTTGTTTCTGGCTCTCTCTCCAGCAGGCACTCATGCTCTCTGGCAAAATTAAGAAAAGAAATAGAAAAAAGAACAGAAGAAAGAAAGAGGAGAAAGAGGGGAGCTAAAAGAATATTTGAAGAAATTATGGCTCAAAACTTAACATATTTTATATAAAGTGTTGACTATTTCATGTAATTTATTAAATACTGTACTAAAAGTGAAACATAGAATGACTGTATGGGAACCCAGAGTAGTTTCCACTGAGTGTGCATTGTTTTTGCACCATTGGAAAGCTGAAAATTTTTGAGTTAAAACATCGTAAGTCAGGGATTATCTGTATACTACCCAGAGAAACCACTAAGAAAACTGTACAAACTGTACAAGGTGATATACTAAAAAACACTATCTATAAATGAAGATGGAATCCTTAAAAATGTCCCAGTAACCACAGGAAGGCAAGAAAATAGAAACAGAGGGTTGAAAAATAGTAAACAAAAATAATCTTAAATCTCAAAATGTTAATAATCGCCTTCAAGCACTGGCCGTGCTCCCTATTAGAGTTCTCCAATCTACCCCTTTGTCTATTTCCCACTGAGAATGGCGAGAGCATTTACTCAAAAGCTCATGGCTGGACAATTCAACAGCTTTCTATTTGTCTACATGTCTTTCTCCAGGACCATTTCCACAGAGGTTCCAGAGTGATCTTTATAAAATACAAATATGATCAAGTTTCTCTACATCCTTCAGTAATTTCCCATGATCTCTACAAGATGAATACTAAACTCTTCACTTTTTAGGCTCATCTTCCATGATTTACTGCATCTATTTATGGAAATAGGCTGAGATATTTCAGACCCCGTGTTTTGTACATGGCTTTGTCACTATTCTATCTGCTTCAAGTGTTCCTCTCCTTTCATGCATACCTCTTCCCTTCCCCAAACCAATTCCTATCAGACCTGAAAGAGTACCATCATGTAATCTCTTTGGAGAAAACCTATTTTTTTTTTTTTTGGAGAGGTTTTCACTATAGGGCGCGTGAGCTCGCCAGACAGAGAGAGACAGAGAGACAGAAAGTGAGAAATCACCCCCCAGGGGGGATGGTCACGCCACAATCGCTTCACCTCCATTCTCCTCTCGGGATCTTGGGCACGCACGCACACGCGCCCGGCGTGAGTTCTAAGGCACGGGGTCCGGGAGGCAAACCGCAGTCGACTACGTGGGAGTCCCGCAACATAGCCATTACGCCAACTGCTGGTTCCCTTTGGAGAAAACCTTTTGAACTGCATGGATCTGGCTTCTAAAACAGTTTCTGTACGTTGATAGTTTATTTGCTTTTTGCTTCCTGAGATTCTAGAGGGGCATTGAGGAAGCTTCACTTTCCACTATTGAAATAGGATCAGGGAAGATCAGTGGATGCAGTAATGGTTACATCACTGGACTCACATATATTTGACTGTGGTTCGAGTCCTGAACCCAGTGGCTCAAAACTCATGCCAGGGGAACCAGCAGTTAGCATAATGGTTATGTTGCTGGACTCCCATATAGTCGACCGCGGTTCACGTCCCGGACCCAGTGGCTTAAAACTCACGCCGGGAGCGTGTGCGTGTGTGCCCAAGATCCTGAGAGGAGAATGGAGGAGAAGGGATTGCGGCGTGACCATCCCCTCTGGGGGGTGATTTCTCGCTTTCTGTCTCTATGTTTCTTTCTGTCTGTCTGGCGAGCACACATGCCCTACAGCAAAAACCTCTCCAAAAAAAATAAATAAATAAAACTCATGCCAGGTGCTCTCTCTGGTGAGTGCACTTGCCCTATAGTAAAAATCTCTCTAAAAAAAAAGAAAGAAAAGAAATATGAATAGGAAACAGAAAAGTGTGTTCATTTATCCTTTGAATAGTCATCTTGGAGAGGAAATGTACCATGCTTAAGAGCCTCAACTCTGGAGTAGAACATCTGGCTTCAAATCCTGGCTCTGGGGACCAGCAGTTGGCTTAATGGCTATGTTGCTGGACTCCCATGTAGTCAACCACGATTCAAGTCCCGGACCCGGTGGCTTAAACTCATGCTGGGCACATGTGTGTGCATGCCCAGGATCCCGAGAGGAGAATGGAGAAGGGACTGCGGTGTGGCCATCCCTTCTGGGAGGTGATTTCTCGCTTTCTGTCTCTCTGTGTGTCTCTGTCTGGTGAGCGCACGCACCCTAAAGCAAAAACCTCTCAAAAAAAAAAAAAAAAAAAATCCTGGCCCTGCCAGTTCCTAGTTTTGTGACATTTACTACTGATCCCATCTGCAGAATATGCGTAACAGTATCCACTTCATTGGATGGTTGCAAGGATGGATAAAATAATGTAGCACATGAACATGTAGAAAGATGAAATGTTTTGCATGATCTAGAAATATTAGCAAGTAGATAGACTATAGGAATAATTGTTGTGTCTTTTTTTATTAAGCATTACCTGCAACATTAAAACATGTCCTTCCCTTTCTAACGATTCATATTTGTCACTCAAATCTTAGTAATCCTTTTGCTCCTGAGAGCAACAATGATTGCAACACATTTTTAAAGGAAAATTCTCCTGAAAAATAGCCATGGTAGTGTATTTTTATTTAGATATGGAATTTCTATGAGGGGGGTTTGGCTAAGAATTTCTCTAAGACTACAATTCATAAAAAGCAATAATGTGAAACCACTCAGGTGTTTTGTGGTGATGGAGGATAACTGTTGTGAAATGCAATAAACACAATCTTAAATAATTGACCATTTAAAAAAGAGCCGCTGAATGGATTTTCTGAACTTGAAACTGTCTATTCTGTGATACAAATGTTTATGATTCCTTCTCAACCATGTTACTAGAAGTATGCATAAATTGTTTCATATTTTTTCAGTAATATTTTGTGGAAAATAACCAGATTAAAAGTTTCTCTCCTCCACCTCCTCTGAATTGGGAAACACTCAAAAGCAAGGATGTGTGTGTATGTATTCTCTCTCTCAAAAAAAAAAAAAGATGTTCAAGTGTAAAATTAATCTTTTAAACACCGTTGTAGAGGAATTTCTCAAATTCCAAACCCCACCTCCTTCTCCCCTTCTCCTCCATCTCCCTCCCCACTCTATATCCAGTGTTTCTTGAGGAAGACTTTCGAGGCAATGGGAAGCTGAGGTTTTCTTTTCACTTGCTTCCTCTGAGACAACTCGGCAGATATTCTCTTCCAAGATGCCTGGAGTTCTGGCTATCCGTCCAGGAAAGGTTATGAATACAAAACGGGTCTGCATTGCAGAAGCACCCTTCAACACCCCCTCCCCTCCTCTAGCCAATTTCAAGAGGGAAGGGGCCTCCAAGTGGGAAGTTCTTATTAGAAACCTTTAACAGATATGGCTCAGATTTTAATGCAGTGAGCCATTTTTATTGTGGTTCTCCAGAAAGAAACTCTTACAGCTGATTACATGCAGGAAAATCTTTATTGAGTCATAGAATTATTACACTTTTTTAACATTGCTATGTGGAATACCCAAACATGTAAAAATGACATGGGACACAACTAGCACTGAGTGGCACTTTCACAATTTTCTCTGCTTTACCCCCAATGATCAGCTATAGAATATTCACTGGTACAATCTTGTTTAGTGAGCTAACTGCCTGGCCTGGTGGTTAAGGCACCGGATCCCAAACGGTTGAATGTGCAGTTTGAGTCCCAGACTGGCCAGTTGAAAAACCTCTGGGCTCATGTGCACTCATGCCCCAAATCCTGACAAGATGAAGAAACAGAGAAGTTAGTTTTGCAGTGTGACCATTCCCCATGGGGGCAGGGATGCTCTCACTTCTCCTCTCTTTCTCCTCCCCCCTTCTCTCCCTCTCTCTCTCTCTCTCTCTCTCTCGTGAGTTTGTACTCCAGCCAGCAAAATAAGTAAAGAAATCTCATTTGGTATATCAATCTATTCTACAGCAATCTGTCAGAACTTTCTATAGGAAAACACATTTCTTAACAATCAAGTACACATTGGAGAGATATGATTAGACATTTATAGGACTTGAACACTTTAAACTAATACACAATGTTGGATTAAAAGGAGGGCTGTGGCAGCTTTCCATTCATTTTGGTATCTTATTCTTCAAACATTTGCTCTTATACGTTTATTAGTAAAGATCTTATTTTAAATGCATCATATTCAATGTTTATGTTTTTATTTCTCTTTTCTAACAAGTCAATGGTTTAACAATTTGAATTCTCTTGCTTGGGAAAAACGGAAGTCACCAACTTACAAGGTACATTATTGACAGTCCAAACCACAACACAAAATCAATCACGACAGGTGACACATTACACCGCATTGACCACGTTTTCGGCACACAATAGGACAGAGGACAGGAAGGCTGGCCCGGAAGATCTAGGGCTCACATGACGATGCACTTGCCAAGCAGCTTCTCCGTGGTCTTGGGCATCTGCGATTTCTTCTCGGGACCCTCGGGGCAGGTGTCAGCCTTCCTCTGGTGGCTCAGCAGCGTGTGAAACAGCTCCCGCACGTTGATGTCTGCCTTGGCCGAGGTCTCCACGAAGGTGCAATTCCACTCCAGCGCGTAGGCGGCACCATCCCTCAGCGCCAGCTGCCTGCGGCCGCTCTCATCAATCTTGTTTCCCACCAGCACGATAGGGAACTTCTGCAGGTCGTTGCCTTTGATCTCGCGGATCTGCTCGTAAAGCGGCTTCAGCTCCTCCAGGGTTTCCTTCTTGGTAACGGAGTAGACAAGAACGAAGGCGTGGCCCCTGGCAATGGCGAGACGCTGCAGACCCGGGTAGCGGTGGCCGCCGGTGGTGTCGGTGATGTGCAGGGCGCCGGGGGTGTGGTTGCAGCCCAGCACCTGACGGTAGGTATCTTCGATGGTTGGCAGGTACGCCTCACGGAACGTGCCGCGCACCCATCTCTGCACCAGCGCGCTCTTGCCCACGCCGGCGGAGCCAACTACCACCACGCGGTAATCTTTGCTCCTGCGGTGAGGCATGAAGGCGCGGATAACCAGCAGGGTAGGCAGGCCCCCCACCAGCCGCTCCTTGAAGCCAAAGCAAGAGTTGCCCATTGCTGAGAAGAAAGGGGCGCACAACTTCTCCGGAACGTAGCCGGCAGGAGAAGCCTAACAAGGGGGGGGGGGGGGAGAGAGAGAGAGACAGAGAGAGAGAGACAGAGAGAGAGAATTTAACCTGCACCGTTGTCTGAACAAGTGCTTGGCCCCGTGCTCTACTGAGATTCTGGGAAAAGTCCACTCTAATATAAATGGGTTCCTCACAGTAAGAAAATCCCCAGGTTTTGATTTGTATTTCCTAATGACTAATGCCATTGAGCATTTCCCCCCCCACAGACCTGTTGGCCACTTGGTTGCTGAGTCTTGTCAACAAGTATGAAGTTGCCCTTAGTTAGAAATAAGCTCTGGTGCTGTGTTGCATAGCAAGGTGCCTATTGTCAACTACACTGTATTACATATTTTGAAACAGCTACAAGGATTTTCAACATTCTCCCGGTAAAGACAGGACACATACATGAGGTAATGGAGCTGCTAATGTCCTTATTTGGTTTTACACAATGCGTTCGTGTACCAAAGCTTCAATACTGTACAATTATGATAAGTCCATTAAAAACAAGTTGAGAGGTTGACACGGAGTGGGGAGGGGGGAAATGATAAATTTCCAGACAGACCAGCCTGTTTTAGAATGGGGTCATGGTGGGGGCTTTTTGGGGGGTCCAGAAAGTGCAAGGATCCAGCCTTTCATGCCCTTCCATCCTTTTTTAAATCCTCACTACAACCTTCCCCTTCGAGAAACACTTGGACCTGGTTTCCTCGAGTGTAAGATGGGATCTGAAATGGACACCTGGAATTGTCTAAAAGAGAAACGAACACTGGAAGACAACATCAAAATGACACACCGCGATGGTTAAAGCTGCAACCCAGTAATCCAGGGAAAAAGGACGGAGTTTTGGTAGCCGTCGTAGTGGGTGATTATAAAGGCATCCCTTGGAGGCAGCTCAGGTAGGTACGGATGACAACTTTGCATGGCGGGTAATAGAGGAGGCGAGGCGCACCGAGTCCAGCACAGCCCTGGAGAGGCGCGAAGGGCGTCGCAGCTCGCAGGGCGCTGTCACTGCACATGCCATCGAGGACCGGGGAAGGGGTCTCGGCCTTCTCTCCTACCCCTGCCCTCCACTGCGGTAGCCGTAGCGCCCGCACCAGGCTGTATCCCAGCCCAGGGGCCAAGGGGAGTCGGGAGGAAGCCAGGCTCAACACTTCATTCTCCCTCTCCCCGTTATTACAGTCACCTACACGCCCAGTTTAAGTTTTTCCACCTCACGTTACCCTGTTCTCATTTCCTGAGCACCGTGTACGGAACGAGGAACCTTCATAGTGAATTCCCTCGATTTAGAAATCGCGCGCGTGCACACGTACACACAGGCGCGCACAATCGCCAGATCTTTTTACTTTCTCCTCTTAAATTAAATTACAAATCGCTATCTTCTTATCCCGACCACCGTCAGGGAGGAGATCTGTCAGGCTCAAGCATGTGGCAGGGTTCTGGGTCCGCCTCCGCACACCCGCGGGAGAACCGTCTGCTTGCGAACAGGCGCTGGCTGGAGCGGACAGACCTCAGTGGGCAGGCTGTTGGGAACGCCGTCTCTGTTTCTGTCTCTCATGCTCATCAAAGACATAAAATAACATTAACTTCTAAAAGTCTACCTTTTCGGCAAGTAAGATAGATACCGATTAATCACTGCGGGCAAGGGTAGGGTGCCGCGATCCAGGGTTTGGCGGGCGGATGGTACGGGATCGCGGGATTGTCGGAGAGCCCGCAGGGGCCAGAACGTTGGATTGGTGGTTCATGGCTCAAGCGCCAAGCACACTCCTTTCAGCAGTGGGCATCCAGGGTGCATGTTCCCCAGACATTCGCCCACTGATTCTCCACATCCAGGTCTGCCCGCACACTTTGACTCAAATGCTCTCTTCACTCCCATCCCCGCGGCAAAAGACAGGTTACTTTACCTCTCCGCAGTACCACCAGATGCTCAGAGCAGCAGCCCAGGAGAACCAGCACTCTCAGAGGCTCGGAGAGAAAAACTCCAGCTCCTGGATTCCGTCTGAAGCATATTAAAGATAGAAGGCGCAGGCGGGAGAGTCCACTTGCACAACGCAAGGGGGGGAAACCAGACCGTAAGGGGCTGGCAGAGCCAGAGGCACTCTGGTGGTCCACCCGGTGTCCCTGCACCTGAGTGGCTGGTTCCACCCCCCAGGGAGAGAGCCGGGGGATGGGGCCCAGAGCAGTCAAATCGCAACTGAATACCACCCTTCTGCTTTGACTTTTAAGGAAGGGGTCGAGGGTCCCTATCAGGGTATCAAGACCCTGTTAGATGTGCTCTGTTTCTCTGTCTCTCTTGCTCATGAAAAAAATAAACTTAGAAATTACAAAACTGTTCGAAAGAAAAATGGAAAATCATTGGAATCTAAGACTAGGCAAAGAGTTCTTAAACTTGATACTAATGGCATGATACATACATAGAAATGTTGATAAATTAGACCTCATTAAAAATTATGCTTTTGTTTTGTGGAAGTCCTGTAAAGGATACGGAAAAGAAAAAGTATGCACTAAGAGAAAAATCTTTGCAATCTATATATTTGACACGAGACCAGTATCTAGCATATATTATACAGACGCCTCAAAACTCAAAAATAAGAAAAATCCAATTAGAAAACAATCGCGAGATAAACAGGTGTTTCACTAAAGAAGATACACAGATGAAAAATAACCATATGAAGTTTTCCAACGTCTTTAGCCACAAGAGTGATATGAATTAAAACACAATGAAATATTGCTATACTGCTATAAAAATAGCTAAAATTAAAAAATAGTGATCATGCCAGAAGTTGATGAGGATGCAGACACTGAATCATCTATACATTGCTGATGGGAATGCAAAATGTTACAACGACTCTGGAAAAGTTTGTTATAAAATTAAGCATGCTACAAATCATGCAGCCCAGCAATTGCACTCCTGGGTATCCCAGAGGAAAATAAAACTTATTTTCACATACAATGCACACTATTTTTATCTATAAATTTTAGTCACAGCTTAATTCATAGCAGCCAATCACTAAAAACAATCTAGACATCTTTTAACCAGTGAAAGGTAAAACAAACAATGGTGTAGCCACATCCTGAAATACTGCTCAGAACCACTAGGCCCTGGGGCCAGCCCTAAAGGTCACATTCTTAGCTTATCACTTTCAGCTTCCTGTGAACAGACACCAAGTTTCCTTTTAAATCTTACTTTCCAAAAATCTGCACACACTGACACATTGGCTTAATAAGGGGCTCCCTCTGGGAGGTCCCTGTGTCTGTTTCTCCACACAGCCCATACCAACTCTCCTGCCCCACCCCGGGGCCATTCTGCAGCCTCATTCCCTTGGAAGCACACCCCATCCCTACTCTCCTTTAAGATCTACCTCTAAAAGGCATTTACCGAAAGGAACTCCTCCATTCTCTGAGCTTCCACAGCACCTTTTCACCATGTATTGCAGCTGTGTGTGTATTTACATTCTCCACAACACTGTCAGCTCATCTTGGACAGGACTGAGATTCATTTCTATCTGAGCCCCTCACAGACAGTAGTAAGTGCTGGCAAGTAGGAGGCAGAGGCAGCCGCAGTGAGATGGGGGAACATCCATCCATCCAGAGGGATGGAAATCACTAAAGAATCAGCTCTGGGGCCAGGCTTACCCTCCCCAGTCCTGGTTTCACCACATTTTTACAGTTTTTAACTTGATCCTTTATAAAAGGGGGGAACACTTGGCTAGTGCCCAATCTGGGCACTAAGGTGAATGCCTGTGGTCCTAGCTCACTGGGAGGCTGCCGGCAGGGTTATCACAACATGGTGAGACCCTGTTAAAAATACCTCTCTCTCTCCCTCCTCCTTCTCCCATATTCCCTGTTCTTTCTCCTTTTCTCCCATTAAAAAAAGAGAGAGAGAGAGAGAGAGAGAGAAAGAAAGAAAGAGAAACAAAAAGAAAGCAAGGTAGGGAGAGAGAAAGTAAAGGAAGGAGAGACAGCTGGAGTTTGGGTACCTGGTCTCCAGTTCCCATTCGGTCACATCGTTGTTATAAGGACTTAAGCAACCAACTTCTTTTCCTTTTACACACGGTATCTTTATCTGTGAGACAGACATGAGTATCAACTTTTGAAGTAATATTAATAATTTGTTTAAAAGCACTTTGGAAATGTTAAAGCACAATATTCGAGTGGGGTATTGTTTGCAAACTATGAATGAGGCAGCAATTCACTTAAGTATTTGCTAGGAGCCAGGCCTGGTTCATGTTAGCCATTTAGACCCAACTAGGACTCTGGGAGGGGGAAACCATTACCATCTTCAATTTAAAAGATGAGGAGACAGTACAGAGGTTCACTATGTATAGAGGTGAGGTCCAACCAGCTCAAGGACTTGAGAGCTTTACAACATGCTGCCCCCCAAGTAGAGACCCATGGACCGTCACGTCGTTGATTTGAGGAGTCTGTTTTCCTTGTTTCCTACTAGGTCCTCTCCACCCCCCTTTTAAAGTTCTGTAGAAAACTAATGGCAGTTGTGTTCCCCATCCTTCAGAAACAATTTCCAATTTTTCGCTTCTAGGATCACGATTAAGAATCCCTTCCTTTTCCTGTTGATGTGTCTTCTCCCAATCCTACCCTGTCTGTCCCCCACCTGTCTGCTTTCTCCCAGAACCTTGCTGCTACAAATAGCGCCCTGCTCAGAGATACCATCTCCTGCTTCAAGCAGAAATGAAGCCACGACAAAACTCACCAGCTCCACATGCATCCTCCAGCATTTTCTTTCAGCCATCCAAGGTTAATACCTTTATTCGAGTCCTGGGTTGCTTTTCCACCTGCAGTTCCAGGATCAACTGTAATGGAATCATCTGGGATGCTTGTTAAAAATACCCAATCCACATGTCCAAAATCAGAATCTGGAGCTGGGACCCAGGGGTATTGCGTTTTAGCCACCCGTTCAGGTGATTCTGATGTAGAGAGAAGATTGAACTTTAGAACTTCGCTTCGATCTATTCCCTTTCTCACCTCTTTGATCTCTCACTCACCATTTGACT